GGAAAGCGAAAATGATAAGTGCCAATAAATTATTTCAAAAATTTAATTTTTCATCATAATTTAATATTTTAAGAAAAAATTTCTTAAAAATTTCTTGATTATCTTTTAAAATCCTATTTATTTTTGTTTTAATTGGCTTATTGCTCAAACATTTAAAAATAACAGAGATGTGGGCCCTTTTAAAATTATTCCGAATTCATTTCTAATGACGGGTTTATTTCAAATGGAGATGGGTTGAAACTTTCAAATATATTCAGAATAGCGCATTAATAGTGGATCATTTAACTCTTAAATCGTCTAGATGTTTTTTCCCAGAAATGCTTAACATTTTTAGTTAGGCTCGCCGAATGGTCGTGCCAAACGAATTCAGCGAAGGAATCACTCGATCTTAGAAGTACAAATGGATCTCTAACACGGGAATTTACTTTACTCCTGTCAAAAATAGAAGCATAGCATCGACTAATGAGCTGCTTAGAAGAAAAATTTTATTATATTTTTAAGAATTTTCTTAATAAATATTTCAAGATTTTTTTTTAAAATAATAATTGAATTTTAATATATTATTATTCTATATTTATATTTTAAAATTTAATTTTAATTTTATTATTTTTAAATTTAATTTATATTCATACTTAATTTTATTATTTAATATTTAACTAATTTTAATATTTAATTGATTTCGCTTTCGCTTTTCGCTTAATAATATTTTAACTAATTTAAATAATTTTGAATGAAAATATAAAAATAGCGCTTCGAATTAAAATATATCGGTTCTTTGAAAAAAGCAGCAAAAAACTCTCTGAGAGAACCAACAAACCTATTCGACTCGTTTAAATGTGATTTAAATTCAGGAAATAAAAAAAATAAATTGGAATTTCATGGATTTTATAAATTAATTGTTAAATTTAAAAAAGCCTAGGCATTTTTTTTCGAAAATAGTTTTTTTTAATGTTTTAATTGTTTAATTAAATTTTAAAAAATAAAAATATCCAAAATATTTTTTTTTTAATTCATAATTTCAATTTCAATTATTATTATAAAATATTATTATAATTATTGCAAGAAGTAAGCTTTCAGAATTTTCTTTTACGAGAGGGATAAAGAAATTTAAGGAACTTTAAGGATATTTTACGAGTTCATCGTTCAAATACGGTTTATATAAATACTATCATCAAAGAGCTTCGCCTTTGCCGGTTCTTCGTCGTTCACCACAAGAGTCGACACATATTTCTTTATTCGCTAAATTTTGTAATGAATGGTGTGAAAAGGGAGGTGGACCAATCAAGACCTGAACTGATACAGTCAGGAAAGTACTTATAGGAGGACCAGCGACATATCAACCTAGATGATGGAAAAAGGCTTCTTTCACTGTCGACGATGGACCGAGCAGCTTCGAAATGTCTTATCATTATAATCAATGGAGCAAGCTTAACCAGTAATGAGCTATTAGAAGAATTCTTCCAATAAGAATTTTAAGAATTTTTTAAATCAATACCTTAAAATTTTTTTATAAATGATAATTAAATTTTAATATTTAATCGATTTTACTTAATAATAATTCAAATAATTAAAATAATTTAAATGAAAAGAAGAAAACAACGCTTCGAGTTAAAATATATCACAATTTCAAATTTTGTTTATAAACTAATAAAAATTTTTATTAAATCGACAAATACTTCCCACGTATTCGTTAATAAAAATAAATTAATTTGATAATTGTTTGCAATATTTTAAATTCAATTGGATTCGACAACAATTGGTAACATTTGATAAGACTTATTAAATCCAATTTGAAAAAAAATATTATTCCCAGAAATATTTTTGCACGAATCAAACTAGTTATCAATTATTATCATTTATCAAATATTATTGCTTAAATCGAGAATTAAACATTATCATTAAAAAAAAAAAAATTTCATTCCATTCACTGCTATTCACCATATAGATTTATAATTTAATTATGCATTGTTATTCGATCATTTCGAAGCGCCGATCCTCGGGATTCAAGAATAAATCTTTTTTTCAAAAATCCGATTAATACAGGCAATCTGTATTTTTATCACAAATTCTCTTGAATTTTGTAAGAAAGAAATTTTTTTGGAAATTGTATAAAAATAATAAAAAATAATAAATTTAATAAAATAACAAAAAGTAATCGATGAATTTCATATTTTAAAAATAAAATATTTACAATATTATATTAAAAATATAATTTTTCGTTATTTCAACGTTCTCTTCTAATTTCATTCAATTAGAACCAATTTTAAAAATTAATGATCCAAATAATTTTTATTTCATTACTTCTAGTTCAGTTAAAATTTAATAGAAATTTTATCCATTTATCGATAATGAAATATATTTTGATATTAGTAAATCGTTATGGCCAATAAATTTCTCTCTTCCTCCTCATCCATCCTTCTCCGCACTTCCTCATCCCGTAGAGATAAATCCACATTTTTGCCGAGGATTATTTCTAGAAAGAAAATTTTTCCAATTGCTTATTTAAAATGAAAAAAACTAATAAAATTTAAACTTAACAAATTAATAAAATAAGGAAAAAAAAAAATTAATAAAATTTTTAAAACTATGTTCAACCAAATCATTGATATTGATAATCATTGATTGATGATATTTCAATTTCGCCAATTAATTTAATATTTCGAATAATCAAATTTAAAAGAATTATCGACAATTGAATGGTACTTTGAAACATTTAATTGCTATTTATTCCGACTAAACTCAAATTTTCCATAAGTTCACTTCCACCATATGAAATCCAAAATTCGGCGGAGAACCCCAAAAGGGACCAATTTAGAGAACATCCGATGTGAGCAATCGAAGCAGAAACGGTGAGCGTTGTCACCAAAGCATCTTGAAATTCTAAATTTCAACTCCTTTTATTCCATTTTCTCACATTTTTATAAGATTTTCCAACTAGATTATCAATATTTATTCAGTATTTCCTTTTTTCCCATTTTTTTTTCAAAAATTTATTTAAAATTTAAAAAACTTTCAAAGAAAAAATGAAAAAATATTTTTTATATTACAAAATTTTCACTATAATATTGAATGAAAATCAATTTAAAAAAAATTCAAATTCACTTAGAATAAGCGGAAGTGTTCTCAATTCTCACTTGAACGTTGAAGTTAATTTTCGCAAATAAATATTGAAAATAGACTTGTAAGAAATCGTTCGTAAAATTTATTTTTTAATTTAAAATTTAAAGTTTTAATTTCGTATTTTCAAATTTAATTTAATTTTTTAGAAATTTCAATAAATAATATAAAAAATTATTCGAAATCTCGGAATAATTAATTAAATTTAGTATATTTTCGCATAAAGAAAAAAATTAATAAAAAAAGCAAATGAAATATTTAAAAATAACTATAATAAAAAATAAATAAATTAAATTGTCAAATAAAGAATAAGCAATAAAACATTATTTATTTATTTTCTTTTTTAAATCAAAAACATTCAATAATAATTGTTTTTAATCAAAGCATTCGAAGTCAATTTTTTCTAAAGTAATTGATTGGTTTCTATTTTAAGCCAAAATAACAATAGGAAATATATAAATACATGATATGCCTAAGGCGCCATTTATTATACAATAGTTAAAATTTGAGAAACTTGAGAAATTTCGAAAAAAATTCAACGGAAATTTGCTAGAGTAATATTATATAAAATATAATACTAAACATGATAATTTTATAAATCGACCAACAATTTATGGATAATAGGAAACAACATTACTTTAACTTTTTACTTTCTTCTATTCTTGCCTTTAAAAAAAAAAGACAAATTGTTGGAATAGAAAAAAGCAAAATGCTTCCCGAAAATAGAAAAGGCATCCAAAAGCATAATCATCCAATGTGAAAAATATGCGATAAAAGAAATAAGCGTAGGTTAAACGAAAAACTTAAAATTTCTCAAATGCTGTTTTTATATACTGCAAAAAGATTTAAATTTTTTAAATTTACATTTTTCATTTTTTGAAATAGAAACCAAAAAAGAAACCAAGCCAAATCGCTCTATAAAATTTATTAATCATTAAATTTTACTAATGTTTTAAGAGAAAAAAATTTTCGAAAACTGAACTGCAAAATTTATTTCCACTAGAAAATAATTTTCAACTCATTTTTGCTTTTTTGTACAGAATACGTGATGTTCGCAAATTTGGAATCTATTTTAACTCAATAACAATCAATGATCAAAAAATAGCGAAATTTTTAATGAATTAAAAAATACAAATTCGCTCTGTAAAATCCCATTGCAAAATAATTATTAATAATTATTAATGCCACAAATTTAACAATTTACAAGCACGAGCAAAAAAAAGAGGAAAAATGATATAATAAAAAGCAAAGGTGAAATTAAGAACATCAAGAAAGAATGATAATAAAAAGCTAGAAATTACCACAGAGACAGTTGTTCATTGAATCCATCATCATTAAAAACTTTTGCATATGCCCAAACAGCTCCGAATGAAACACAGTTGGCAAGAAAGACAAAAAAATATGAAAATATTGATATCTGAAATAAACAAAAATTTTCAAATTATTTAAAATATTATATAAAATATAAAATATTTAAAATATTACTCGAAATAAATAAATGGAAAGATGGAAATAAATTGGAATTGCTGAAAATTTATTTGTATTTTAAATTATCTAATTATTTCAATCTCGACAAATAAATTCTATTAATAAGTTATAATTGAGTTTTTTTTTCCATTATTTTCCAAACGCTTCATTTATTTCATAGAAATGAAACTTTCTATTTTATTTGATAATTCTTAATTTGATATAAAATCGATTTTGAAAAAAATTCATAAATTCATGACAATAATTCGTAAGCCATGCAAAAAAATTTAAAAAAACTTGACTGGCCAGCTTCAACCATTCTATTAAAATAATTTAGCTTAAAAACCTATAAAAATTCAAAACAGTTCACAATATCAATTATTGAACTCGTTTCCTGTATTGTTAAATTTAGCCAGTCAGAATAACGGTTGGTTCCAAGTACTTCCACTTTCATCCTCTCGATGAAGGTAAAAATAGCACAAAACAGTAACAAACATAACCACAGATCCCAAATTTGCAAAAGCACATGCCATCCATCTTATCTGGAAAAAATAACAAATAATCAAAAACTTATTGCCCTTGCAGAACAATACAAAGCAATCAACAAATAAACAATAAATAAAGATCCATTCGATGTGAAAAAATGGTAAAACAAAAAAAAGAAAAAATTTCTGTAAATTCTTCGTTAAAAAATAATCTGCTAATATATGAGTATAATTTGATTAAATTCGCACAACTCGTTCCTCGTATCTTTTTCAACATTAAAAACTGTTTTCTTTGTTGGTTAAAAGAAAAACTTTGGATGCATATAGTGCAAGGTGAATGCTTTCAACAAAACATGATTCTCAACAAAAATTGCATTTCAAAAGATATTCTACGGAATTAATTCAACCTAGATATTATAATTCAACTCTAGACGAAATTTATACGGCCTAAAAGGCAAAAAGAATGGAGAATGGAAACAACAAATTTTATATAAGCAACAGAGATTTGTCCTAAAAACTGCCCTATAATAAACAGTGGCAACTCGTCCAAGAATTTTGCCCAAATTTTAAGGAATTATTTTTTTAATTCAAATATTAAAAACATGCACATGCTTAAAAAATACGAAATTTACAACATGCAAAATGGTTCAGATGAGGAGAAAAATTGGAAAGTTAATAGAAATCAGAAAAGTAGCGAAAAATACTGCACAGAAATCCTTTTTGTCTCTGCCTAAAAAAATTTTTTTCAACATAATCAAAGATAATAGTTTAAAAATTCTTATTTATTTCACTTGTTAACATGCCTCCATAGAAAAATTAAAAATTTAAGTCCTTGAAATAATAAATCACAAAATTCTCAGATAATTGAGAAAACAAGACAAACCACTCCAGCATGCGCTAACACCATTGGTAAAGCAAAAGCCGATACAACGATTCCTGTTGTAGCGAAATATGCTAATTCAGTGCAAGCAGATGTACCACCCATATCATCTTGGTATCGCTGAGCAATCAGAATAGGCATTGGGGATAATATATAAAACGTTATCACGAACATCGGCCACCATGATCTATAAAAATGTTAAATTTTTTTAGAAAACCTTAACAAACAATATTATGAAAACTTATGTAAGATAGCAGAATAGTGAAATGGACAGTAGAATAGCCGATAGTATTGTGAGACAAAGGTTCGATTCCTTCTTTCGACTTGTAGACTTGTCACTGAAAAATTTAGGTGGTGCCGGTGATCCATTATTTCTATTCCCATTTTTAACTCTATGAGAAAAATTGCTAAGCAAACAATCAATGATCTGAACCAGAAATGGTGAGTGTTAGCCGTCTCCCTTGCTTTTTAGCAATTCGCATTCACAAATTTTTTAGGGCATCATAATAAAGATAATTGATTTTTGATCCTCATCAAACGATTTCCAAACGCTTTTTTTATTCAAAAAAAGTTTGGTTTCTTTTTTAAATTCATTTCATACTTGGAAAAAGGGAAAAAGGAAAGGGAAAAATTAAGTGCAATTTTCAACAACTGATTTTTTTCTATTAACTTAAATGTTGCAAAATCGGCAAACAATGCTTCTTATAAAGTTTGAACCCTATTTTAAAAAGGATTGCATCAAACTGGTCTGCGAGATTTACAGTTGATGAATTTGATTTAGAAAACCGAACTCAGGCAAATCTATCACTTTTGAACCAATTAAGAAAATATTCTAGAATAAGAGCTACAAGTTGATTAATATAGATTTCAAAAACATCGAAAATCACTGTTCAAGAGAATTTGAGGAATATTTAAGCAGACTGCCATGTTGCAGAACCAAATAGGCTTTCTACATTATTTAACTGAAAAAAAATTTATTGAACTACATTATATTATATGCCTCGTTGCAACGAATACAACGAAAACGTTTTTGAAATATTTTCAAAGAATGGTGAAAAATAGTTTAATTACAATAATGTCGAAAAATCTTAAAGTAAGCAGAATAGAATGAACCACGATCAATCACTACAACCTCATCATCTATACGAAAAAAATTTATAATTAGCGATTGCAAGGAAATCATATATTATGATTTTCTTGGCCAGCGCATTGCAGACTGCCGTCTCAGATTGTCATTATTAAAAGCCTTTCACTAATAAAATGAGGATGATGATGTTAATCCAGCTGCATTTCTATCTTCCCGTAATCCTCTGATAAAATTATTCTGCTAATAATAATCAGTACAATGATTGCTCAGAAATATAGCTAACCACTTATTTACCTAATCGTAGCCTCCTTATCAAAAAAGCAGTCGATAATTTAACTAATTATCTAATTTTTATAACTAGACGAAATGAACATAGTAGAAACGCCTTGAATCAGTCAACCAGACGAATGCTTTTAGGTGATGATCATATTCTTATCAAAGATCTGATTTAAAGTTTTAAGAGAACTATATAAAAATATTACTTATTTGCATTTCTAATTATTCAATTTCGTTTTCTATGGCAACTTTTTTTTCCATCCAGAAACCAGAATGTTTTTTTGTGGATATCCTCGCGTTCTTGGATTTGACGAAAGAATGAAATTTTTTTGCAGCTAAACAATACATCTGAAGAAATGGAAATCGACAAAGATTATTCAGCTCTACAAGATGGAACCTTCTCACTCAAAATTTGCTTCGAACCATAAGCTTTTGAAAATTCATGCTACAAAATTATACCTCTCTATTCGCTATTATGGATGATTTCAATGAAAGCAAAGACGAATCATTTGTTTGACATCAGAAATAATGGTTTGACCATGCAGCATTGTTCTCTTTATTTTACACAACAATACTTTCTTTGGTACGAACATTGTACTTTTGTGGGGGAGAGGAAATTTCTTTATCAAAAATCTACTTAAGAAAAACGATAATACGATGACCTAATATTTAAGGCAATAACCTCTCGAGTATGCGAAATAATGGGATTTGGCTGGGATTTGTCATCCCATCAACCATCTTTACCAAACATTCCGCCTATTCCATTCCTCATAAAATTCCTTTATCGGCAAAAACTTGGATCCTTCCGATGACCTTGAAATTTTCTTACGAGGAATCTCAGAGATTCTAAGAAAATGGAGTCTAAGGTGTAAATAAAAGATAGGAAATTATGGAAGAAGATTCATATAAGAAAATCATACCTCTGAAATTTTCTCAAAAATCAAAGAGAACCTTCCAGAATAACTAACAATTAAGTAACAACTATAATGATAGACGAAATTTTAGAAGAGAAATTTTGTAGTAAGATGTTCTTTTCCCATATTTCTTTAAAATAACTTATCAAAATAAACTTCGAATTTAGTTATTATTTATAAAATTAAAATAAAATGCTTTTATATGATTAAAACATACCCAAACATAGGCAAAGCACATCCAAGAACTAATAAAGTTAAGCCAACTACTCCGGCCAAAGCCAACGACACAACAGCTGCAAATAAATGATTAATAATCATTTTAATCATTTTAAAAAAAATCAAAAAAATTAATTGACAAATATTTCCAGTAAGAATGGAATATTTAATGACTGTCTTATATAATACGTCGTCATCACTTACTTATCATCCTCAATCTTAACTCTAAATACAATATCTCTTTCCACACTAAATACAACGTCAATCTTCTATTCTTCCACAAGCAGATAGGCTGGCTAGAATAGCTACTTTCCGCAAAACCACTGTGGAGAATAGCTACTTATCTTCTTCTAACAGCTCCCAACATTACTGGCTAAGCAGGCTCCGCTGACTGCAAGAGTAAGATGTGGCTAATAGCTAATATTCGACACAAATAGAAACCATTCTTTTTCCATCGTCTAAATCCATATATCACTGGCCCATCTACACATTCAAAATCTTTCCTGACTATTTCAACTCAGGTATTGATTGGACCATCTCATCCTTAATACCATCCATTACAAGGTTTAGCAAGTACCAAAATACCAATTTAAAGGCGACGAAGAACGTGTTACTAAATGGTAGTATTAATTTTGATGGTATTGTGAAGATGGAAGCAATTACATGAAATTTCAACCGCTCGGCGGAACCGTTAGATATGTCTTAGACATGAGTGGACAAAGACAAGTAGCTTCTTAATTTCTTAATCCTACACTCTCAGTGGCCAGATTTCATAGCCATATAGCAAGATCGAGACTGCGACTATATTAAATGTGGGATCTCGTTTTTATAGTGATTTCGAGACGAATCCATAAAGGTTTTATCAACCGGAAATGTTTTAAGCCTTTATCCATATTTCGTCTTTTTTTGGCCATTTGGGACTAGAATGAATCCGAGGTTTGAAACTTCTTCAACCGGCAAAGAACTGATAAAAAAAAAAATTTTATTAGCTTCTTGTAAATAGGACGAAAACGAAAAGACTTTTGCTTTATTCATATTAATCCTGTTTCCGATTCTTAATTTAGTTGTCTACACATTGTTTAGCAGTATTTATTTAGCATTTCATCATAACTGTTAGCAAAAAAAACTACATCATCAGCGTATTCAAGATCTGGACTGATACGATGCTCTGGACTGATTTGTGCACCTTTTGCGTGCAAACACGCAGTGTACATTATCCAGTCCATCGCATAGTTGAAAACGCATTGTATGGGAAAAGGCGTAACTTGACGGACACCAGTTCTAATTTCAAAAGGGTCTACCTGTTTCCCATGTACAGAGACCTGTGCCGGTGTACACTGAAAAACACCTTTATGAGGCAAACGATCTTCTCTGAAACATTTCGTCATATTCTATCAACCTTTAACGCGCCGATCTATTAAATAAATCGAAGACAGCTGCAAAATCGATAAAACATGTGACGATGGATTGCTGAGATTTAAAGCGGTGCTCAGGAACCCTTCTTAGCGTGAATATCTGGTCAACACAGCCCCGTTATACAGCCACTTATCTATTCATTTATCATAAATTTCTTTTATCAATTAAATAAAGTTTCAATCACAATCCATTGGTACAATTTTCTCAGCATCGACGGTCCCATTAAGCAATAATCTGAGCAATTTTACTTCTGCTTGGTATTATTATAAGCCTATAAGTTTCTTTTTTTATTTGACTTTTAAAATAAATATTAAATGAGAAATAATAAAGAAAAAATCAAAAAATGAAACCTTTCACACCACCCATAGTAAATTTATTCCGAAAAAATGGGCAAAATGAAGATATAAATATATAATCTAAAATATTATTATAAAATAGTAAAAAAAATATAAAACAGAAAATATAAAACAGAATATAAATACTATTTTTTAAAGGCGAGAAAAATTATGATAAAACTTTATTTTAACATTATATTACGTCACGTTACGTGTCATCCGATCAGCGCTCAGCATTTCTCATCAGACACGTTCCGCTAGTCATTGAATATGACGAGAAATTTTCCATAACTACTTCGAACATGGAAATAGAAATACAATGTCCAATATGTCCCCCATAATTAAATAATTAATAAAATATTAAATATTGGAAATAATATATGTAATAAAATAAAAATATTAAATATCAGAAATTAAATAATTAATAAAATAAAAGTATTAATATTAAAATATTATTATTAATTAATAAATATTAAAAAATAAATTAATGAATAATAATTAATCTTTAATTAATATTGAAACAGCAAACATTGATTTAATTAATTAATATGACACAAATAAAATTCTTGTTCTCTCAACTTTTTTGACTAACAAACCCCGTGAACAAATGACCAACTAATTTTGTAGAGTACCAACCGTCTTCTTTCATTCTACTTATATCTGTCGTTTTATAATGTGCTCGTTCGGCTATATTCTAATATTCGTACGGTTCGTTACAAGACGTAAAGAATCGATGAGAAGAGCAGAAAAAATTTCGTGTGTTCTCCTATTCACCCTATATATATTCTAAATATGAGACGGTGAAATTTTCTTATTTTATAATAAATTTATTAGATTTTTGTAGAAGGAAATCTCTAAGATGAAAAAGGCTCAAAATTGCATCCACCTTTCGGCTTCGAATCCTGATATGCCTCATGAAAATGACTGCCT